GAAGTGAATCCTTTCGGCACAAACCCTTTTAATTGGAATACAAAGGAAGGCAGCGCAGCTCGTTCGCCTTAAAGCGCGCAATATTGTACAATGGGATTGCTGCGTCTGTTGCCAGGACAATTGATTTCATCAGCTCCATAACGCATCTGCCGATCACTCGTCCCCTAACTAACTAACCCGTTGACTGTCCTGACTTGGCCGTGTGTCTCGCAGTTTTGGCTCGTTCATTCCCGAACTCGTCACGCATTTTCCTTTGATTTCTATTAAATTATACCTACGCTTGATCAAAACCCGCCCAAGCCTGATCCACCCCTGGCCGAGTCCTGCGAAATTGTCATATTTACCCCTGCGTAATTGCAGTTTGTTCGGAGGATGAGGCTTTGAGTATTTGCTCAGCAGATTCTGTTGACTGGTGGTTCCCGGTGGGCTGATGATGTGAAGTGATCCAAATTGAAATGTAATTTTGTGCCCGACCAGGAAGCGGGATAATCCCTTTGACAAACAGCAAGGCAAGGCCAGATGCCCATAGATGCAACCTTTGGCCCACTTTGTGGCTAAGTTCTGGCGCAGATCGATAGAGTCGCTATACCAAATTATCACATAACAATTTCCGCCGAAGCTCAAGGAGGACTCATTTCCCCCACTCAATGTTTAATTTCCTTTCAATTTATGCTGGAAATCGAGGTCGCCTCCCGATAAAAGAGCCATCCAACCAATTTGCCCAGCTCAGGAAAAGCCGTATGTGTACCTAGATGGCTCCCCGGCAGTGGAGTTATGTACGGGTGCTTATTAGATGAAGCCTGGAGTCGAGAGCTCAGGACGCATATCAATGGCCCCTGAGATGCGGGTGCGGGCTGGGTGCTGGGAGATGGGAGCTGGGAGATGGGAGCTGGGAGCTGGAGGAGCATCAGCAAACAGCAAACAGCAGGAGAAAAAAACGCTTCAAGTGTCAATCAGTGACAACACAGACACCACACACGATGAAGCACGGGCTGATAGAAGCTAATCGATTTATGCTGTAATATTCAAAAAGTTTCCCATAAGGACCTGGCCCGGAGGACGACCTAATCCAGTGCGACTCCCTTGTGTGCTACCGCCGCCGTAATTTCCCAGTCACCGCCCCCATGTGCACCCCACTTTGAGCCACGTGTTCCGAGGTGGAGGATGCGTCCTGATCGGGGCCAGGGGCTTCGGGCCATGTGTGTCCTCGAAGCTGTCGTCTGTTTATCTGCCTGCATTTGTCGCATTAAAATTGAATAAAAAATCAATCTCAATTCTAGCATAATTTGATTCTTGCCTCCGATTATCGGAGTGGGAATGCTGAACTGGGTGAACTGGGGGCAAATGAAAAGCAGAATGCCGGCAAAACAGAAAATAAATAAATGATAATCTGTAAAGGCCTTTGCCTGTTCGACGGAGATATTTATGTCGCAACTTTTCGGTCCGAGAGGAGAAATGCTCCTTCCCAGCAAATGCTCCTTTTCATTTCACTTCCCCCGCTGACGCTTCTTCTTTGAGTGCATTAGCAATCCACTTTTTAGTGGCATCGAATCTCTTACTTGAGCTTAGCACCAAATTCACTTGGCTCAAAGTTTATCCCTCCACTGGCTCTGCCACTGCCACATGTGAGGAAGCGCGCAGGACTTTCATCCGCCCCGATCCTTCGGCTCCTTGGAGGGCTGCGCTTATTCCAATGCATTTAATAAAGTGTTTATTTCGGTTGCAACAAATTTGCCAGCTCAGTGCGGCGAGCGGAAACAATGCCAACTAGAAACCTGTGCACGACACAAAGGAAAATTGCTTTTCCGCCGCGCAGACACAGCGGCAGCCACATCCGCACATGAGGAAAATACCTCTCACGCTTGGTGGCAGCGAAAATATGTGGCCATTGCTATCCGCAAGGAAGACAAGGAGATACGCGCTCCTGGCCAAACCATCGAAGTTTTTCCCGATGACGTATGGCCCTGGCCCGCTCCTAGAGATGCGTCCGTGCCACGAGACTTTCCCGGGTTTATCCTGCTGCAGTTATTGGTGCCTCACGACGCCGTCTCGGAAAAACTTTTAACTCCCTCTGCCAGCATAGTTTTGATTTCTTCCCAACTTCCCAACTTCCCTTTTACTTTTCTCTGCCTTTCTATTTGTCTTTCGGTGGATTCAACTGCGATTCGGTGGGCTGAGCGGTGGGGCAGGCGATTCGGCTTGAGTGGCACATTATTTGATGATGCTTTTCTCGATTTTTTCGCACTTGAATGCCTGATTTTTATTAGTTGAATTCTTTACGGTTTTGCTGCGTTCCGCCTGCCAGCGAAAAGTTTCAGTTTCTTTGCTTTTCCGCCACTGTCTGCGAGGGAAAAGTTTTACGTTCAGAGATTTGAAATATGGCTGGAGAGTCGAAATCGGCCGCCTCGAGTCGATAATCGAAAGTGTCTTTGTCTGGGCTCCTGGCCAGTTGATCACTTCTTCCCCGATGGACACAATCATCTCTGGGAGAAAACCGCGTCACTCGCCGAAAAGCGCAAAATCCTGATGAAGAATGCCAAAAGTAAAACAAACGAACAGACCGTCGAACAAACGGAAATGAAAGTCAATTTGAATACATTACCAATTCTAATTACGATTTTCAAGTACAACGAACGATGGCGTCCGCCAGATGGGCGATCCGAGGGGCGATGGCTTGAATAATATAATATTGGCTGCTGGGAAAGACGTCCTTAGCCGAAGCCCTCCACTAACAGCCACGAAAACCACAAAGCATTCAAATTGGAAATTTAAAAAAGCGAATGGACATGGAAGCGCAGGGCGACTGGCGACTGACGGCCAAGGGGAGGAGGAGTGCTCGCTGACCAACAGATTAGCCGGAAAACCCGAGGAGAGGAAAAGCTGTGAAGTTTCACAGCCAGTGACAGGAAAATGGCGGCCACGAATCGTATTTGAATACATCAGCATTGCCGAGTAACCGGGAGCCATGGAAGGGAATCCCTTCCCCGCAAGGAGCAGGGCGTCCGTCGTTCTTCTCTAGGTCTGGCGCGGAATGGGAACCCTTGTTCGCTGAGATCCGCATTTCGTTAAATTAAAAATTCAAATACTTTGCGTTATCGCTTTAGACGCAGCTTAAGCCACCTGCCAGAATCCATAGCCCGCCGGAGGCACCCAGCCAATCATTCCCCCAAACACTTGACTTTGGGCCATAAACAGAAAACTTGGCTTCAAGCCTCGCTTATTATGCAGGCTCCTTCCAATTCCTCCCCTGCCAATGCCAAGGTCCTGGGAAGCCATATCATATGCCACTTGGGGAAGGACGAGCACCGAATTAGAAATGAAAATTAAGTAAATATCATAATATGATGCCACCTGGCTGGGAGCGGAGGCGGAGGCGGAGGCGGCACTCCCACTCCGGTTCTGGTTTGGCAAATAAATGATAAGCATTACATTTGATATTCATTATTTGATAACGTGTAGCGTGGCATAAAAACGAAAATGCCAGCGGAAATGAAAATGTGGCCTCCGTGTTTGCATTCAGGACTTGGACTGGGCACAGACGGAGTTCAGGAGGCCAGACGAGAAGCCGGATTAAATGTTTGGCTAAGTGAAATATGTTAAGAGCTATGATATGTGAGCTTGCCCTGGGTGCTCGACTCCTTCGATTTCATGATTTATGATATTAAAGTTGGGCTTTTGTGCCTACGGAATGACTTGCGCCAAGGATAATTATGAAGGGTTCAGCGGACTGCAGCCGCATCCATTTATCACATTAGCCGCCTAGACTAATTCTGTTAAAAGCATGCGAGTATACCTCATGAGCACCCCAAAAATGAATCCATTCAATGGGCCACAAGCATGCAATAAGTTGGTTTTTTCTTCTGTTTCTGACCCGTCGAAAGTCAAATCGCAACATTCATCAGAATGCAATAAAGACAACAAACTTTTTCTGATATACGTGTATATATAAAAAGGAATCGATAGATTTTCCACATAAGACATTCGTTGATTCGTTTCAAGTTCCTCAGTTCTGGTTGGGGGAAGCGAACCTCCTTGCATGGAATCACGAAGAATGGTCAACCAAATCAAAGGGGCAACTTGAATGGAGCTCTCAGCGACTCCGCACTCAACTTTATTGCATTTCAGTGATATCCCCCTGCTAAATCAGCGAAAGCACAGACAAGTGCCGGGAAAACTGAGGTGGCAGTTCCTCCGGAAAAGCCAAGAGCCGGCGCAGGACCACAGGACCACAGCAGCACAGGAGCCCAGGACCAAGAGCAGGCAGATGGAGGCGTGTGTGCTCGCTTAGCGTGAAATTATGAGCGCTTTTACAGCGCAAACAGCAGAACGGGCGAATGTCAACGACAAGCTTAAGCTGCTTAAAACAAGCCATTGCCTCAAGTGTTGTTGCCTCCCCAGAGGGGGAGGGGGAGGGGGAAAGTGAAAGTGTCAAGGATGCGGCAAGCGTTCATAGCCAAATTAAATTGCTCCCAGGAAGGAGCCAAAAGGGAAGGGAGGGGAAGGAGCGCCAAGTGAAAGGATAATGCGAGCATAAAAACATTTTTAATGAAATCGAGACGACGACTTCCAACGGAGAAGGCATCGTCTAAGACAGTAGCAAGTGTGTTTTAATTTAAACCTTGGATTTACCTTGCACAACCCGTTCGCCTTCGAAGGCAAGGGAGGAGTGCGGGTGGAGTCATTCCCCTTCGCCTGCGCATTAATTTCATTCCGCTTGAAAATTTTAATTAATTTTCAGCTTGATTGCGTTTTAAAGAGCCGCTTGGTTTATGTTTTGAGGGCTTGCTGATGTGTTGTGGCTGCCTTGGGCCTGGGAATTTATAGTTATTGCGGCGAGCAGCGGGGATAAAGGGGGGGGATAAAGTTTGCGGGTCGGACCTTTGTTTCGGTCGCTTTGAGGGGCAAAACAAATTTCGGTTTGTAACCATCGCAGACTACTCACATCTCCAGTGGCTTCTTAATTAATTTTTGATCGCAGTGCAGTGCTATACGGAACTCACCTTTGCTGGTGTGCCTGTCCAAGTTTGGATCCTTGAGACCTGTAAGAGTGCAGAGGCGTTCTGTTAGATAGTTAGATATCTGTAGATACAATCTACCGTATAGATAAAATGCGCTAATACAGAGGGAACAACCTATTTACGCCCAGAGAACATGAAATTTAGATATGAATTTGAATATGAATTTGGGCTCCAAGCCATTATACTTAATGTTACAAAAGTAAAGTTATAATCTAAAGTTATACTTAGCTAGAAAAGTTGGCCACATAAATGATTATTGGACCTTAATACTACTCTATAATACGTAAAGGCCTTCTGCACTGGGCTATCATATACTTGTAGTCTTGGGAACTACGTAAGCCGCTTTTGACATTTTTATTTTAATTTCATTCGACGCGACATTTAATTAATTTTCAGCTATCACCGCCAAAGCAGGCGTCAGCTCTTTGTTCACTTGGAGTACTCATACTTCCTCGATTTAGCAGATGTCTAGCCAATGTAGGGAAAAACCACAAAATGCTATGCACTCGGAATCGTCGGATCTTTTAATGCTCTCACAGTAGGGAAAATGTATTAAACATTTCAAAAATTTCTTGGAACAGAAGAAATATAATCCTTCAAACATTATTTTATACTCTGCATCACATGCTTTATTACAAAACTCTGTTAGCTTATAAAATAAAAGATCGTTATGAATAGTATTATTTATTTATTTCCTTGGCATGACCTCATCTTGTCTAATTCACAAAGCGTAGTAATAAAGTTGAGCTTAAGAGCAAAAAGCGATGTATTTACAAGGATCTACCACGGAAGGGTATCTCAGCCAAATGCTGATGTGCTCCTTTAAATAATTCGCTGGACAAAATTGCAGTCTTATGGGAAAATTCCCCACATGCCGCAGACTCTGCGGTATTGGTCGACCCAAAGCGAAAAACTTGTAATGGGGCTGTTGGGAAGTCGAGGAGACGAGGAGACGGAGATAATGTGGTTAAGGTTTAATTGCAGTTGAGCTGCTAAGGTCAGACAGGTCTGGGAAAGGAAATAAACGGGGAAAAGTGGCGAATAAATAGAATAAGAGCTTAAAAAATAGTCGAGACGGGTGGGGATTAGGCATCAGCCAAAAAAAGGGAGATATAAAAGTCAAGTTGAGTTAATATTCATCAGAAGTTGCTTAAGTTTTATGAGCCCTTACTCTCTGCAAATCTCGATTAATTATGGCCTAGACATCATAAAATTTGATGTTTTCATCTTGTAAATTGTCTCCGGAGCGTGTTGGCAAAAGAGGGGCTGTTAAGTAAATTATCACGTCATGTGGCGAAAACGGATGAGCGAGTGGAGGGCACCTCTAGATACATGTGAAAGTTTTATGTCAGCTACGTGCTCATAAATTTCGCAGCACTTTCGCCCTCAAACATTTGTGGCCTGAATCGTTTTATTGGCGTCTGAAATTAGCAGCAACTGGGGATGAGAGGAGCACTCCGAATGGGGCACGCCACTCGAATGAAATGGGGGTGTAGTTGCTATTGTTGCTGGGTTAATTAGAAAAGTTGCCAATCTTCGAGTTCCACTCCATTCGGGAGTTCATCGAACTGAGCAGAGCAGCGGGAGGTTTGCCATTAGCTGCAAGTCCTTCAACAAACTTTAAATATGCAGTGGCCTCGCCGGTGAAGCGAGCTGTGCTCACCCAGATTTCACAATCAGCTCATCTCAATTGCAATCACTTAAATCCTGGCCGCCCTCCGATTCCTGCGCCGCCCTGCCGCCCAATCCTGCCCAAAACCAGGCAATGGGTCCTGGGCAAACATTTTTGAGAGAGCTCTCGCAATCCGCACACTTAAAATATTTACGCAATCAAAATTAATGCAACTGTCATGTTTTCCCTGCCGCAGGCGGGAATCCACCCTTGCCCACCCCTCCCTCCCCGCATCCCCTGTCGGAATGCATTTAGCGTTAAATGCAAATACACTTTAGAACTGTAGCCGACCGCTCCCCCTCCTCCGAACTCGTTTAAATTTAAACAGTAAAACCAAACTCATTACCAACAACAAGCGCAGGATCAGCCAACAGTGGAGGATTCGACCAGCACATACAAGGCGCCAATTAGCAAAACTTTACCTGCTGAATCACTTTGTATTCAAATACGATCAAAAGAGGTACTATCACTTCGCCACCTTGATCACCAGTGAAGAATCGATAGCTAGCTTCTAAATTAGATGTGCTGCAACTCTTAAGCCAATTTGGCCAAGTAGTTTGCAGCATTATAGAGCCCTTTAGCTGTGCCAACTAGATTCAACAGGCCTAAAACCCCAGCGGAGTCGAGTCCGCTCCTGGCGTGGGAGGATGACATCGTTGAAATTACCAAAATGTCCTTTTGCGAAATTTTGTGGACATTGAAAATCGCTTTGATTGAACCGCATGCCAGGCAGACAACAGATACAGTTGCATGTCGCTGGGCGCTGGACAATTGCCACACATAAAACAAACACGAGCCCCTTAGTCCTGCGGCTCCTGCCCACAAGCCGCCGCCCTCCCCCCTCGCCCACGGGCCGTGGCTGCAGGAACAACTCCGAAATCCACTGGCAATTGCAGCTGCAAATGCGCTTCACTGCACTTGCAATGCACATTGGGTGAGGGGAGGTGTGGCGGGGTGGAGGAGGCTCGGGATGCAGAGTCCGTAAATTGTCCAGCGAATGCGGATTGGGAATTGGTTTTATGTCGCTTGCGCCTCAATGGAGATGCATTTTACACTGCCCTGCTAATCCCGAGCGTGGCGAAAGCGAAAGCAGGCCTGCTCCTCCCACAGGACTCCCGTCCTCGGGTTGCTCCGTCTCCATCTCTATCGGCACACCCATTCCGCCCCGCCTCCGCCTCCGCCCCTGGAGGACGCCAGTTGACTTTGAAAATCAATTAACAACATCAAACAGAAGCCGGATGCTGACGTGGACAGCTGTCGGCCAGCCCCAGAGCACTTCCTCCATCCCTAGCCAGGATCCTGGTTCTGGTTCTGGTCCCCTCCTGCTGAAGTGCGTAAATTGCAACTGTAAATCAAATATGACAACGCGAACGGCGGCAAAATCTGCATGTGTGTCAGTCACATTAATTGTCCACGCCCCCTTTCCCGGCGCTGCAGGCGGATGGGCGTGGGCCCACGCCCACGAGGGCGATTGTACTTTATTGTTGTGTTAATGAGTGTGCATAGGCAGCTCGGTGGCCGTGCAGCGGATTGCAATGCGCCGATGTGACATAAAAATATGTTACAGTGGGCGGGCAGGGCTGGACATTTAATTAATTGTATAGAAAAGTTGCACAAAATATCGAATATTAATTGGATATTAATAACGTACATAATTGAGGGTCCCTTCTGCATTCCCTGCGCTCAAAGACGGCTTCCCTTGCAACACATTTCAGCGGCAGTTCAAACAGGACTCCGGTCTTCAGGGAAGGAAAACTCCGGAGTCGAGACGCGACAACAAACAGAAGACGAAAGATAAACAAGGGACGGGGAAAAGCAGGGAAATGCTTTTAAATCGTGCAGCACGAGTACAGTAAAATATTCCTGCTTGTTAACTTTCGCCAGATATTGATGCAATGTCAATCGGCCGATCAATAATCGGTAAAAGCCCAAGCGGAGAAGAAGCTCTCCTCTAATTTTCCATTTCCCGGCAAATGCAAATTTATGTCGCAATTGAGACCTAAAATCCGCCGGGGGAGCACCAGGAAGGTGGGTTTCTTGCCTAGATTTTATATCAATATTTGGGCGAGCAGCTCGTGATTCATGTTTGCCTCTCGCTTATGTTTATGAAATATTTATTTTGCGACATTTATCCAGAGCAGACACTAAACTCCGAATGCGGGCTCATTCGGGATTTATTGACATTTGATGTTAAATTGATATACGTTGACCTTGTTCTCCGCCATCCGCCCAGTCATTTTACTGCTCCTCAATATGCAAAGTCATGTAGCGAACTCCACTGCGTATTCGTGATATGCATCCTGGATTTCTTCCTGGCGATGGTCTGTCCGCCTTCCTCGTGTTTTGCATATTGTTTACATCTTTCGAGTTGCTTCTGCTTCTGCTTCCTGCTTCTGCTTATGCAATCAATGCAGGAGGCGGATGATACCCGGTTGACCTCTGGACCCTCGTCTTCCGAGCAGTCCGATGTGCAATATCGAATTTATCTCACGGTTACAATATTTAATTTGCTCTTACACAAATTGTTGCCTTTTACGTTTTGTCCTATAACAATCAAGTGGGTGAACTGTAATTGCTCCGTCCCTCCTTCGCTTTCAATTACGCATCCTGTATTTTATAGACATTTACATTTACATCTTAAGTAAATAAAACAAACGGAAATTGCTTCAGAGCTAAAAAATTTGGTTTCATTTTCATAAAATAGCTTCTTTGTATATACACATCACTGTGGACGGCAGACCGCGTAGTGACGAAGCGCACCAGGACTATCCGATTATAACGAGCAATAAACAAATTGGTTCAAAGCTAAAAAATTAGGTTTAACTTTCATAAAATAGCTTCTTTGTATATACACGTCACTGTGGACGGCAGACCGCGTAGTGACGAAGCGCACCAGGACTATCCGATTATAACGAGCAATACACTTTTTGAAAGATAGCGCAAAATCTAAAGGGATTGCATGTCGAGATTTTGAAAATATATGGAGTTGTATGTATGCAAAAAAGCGGTAAAAGTGTAAAACAAAAATTTTGAAAATAGGGGTGATCACCCACAACGAATACTAACAGATTTCAACAAAAGAGAAGTCCAGTTCCCGACTATCAGATACCAGTTAGTCAACTAGTGGAAGTGCAAACGAGAAATTTCATTATTTTACTGGAATATCGGTAGAAACTGCGAAAAAAAAAATAAAAATTAAAAAAAAAATTACTTTTTTATAGGCATTTTTAAAACTTTGGGTGTGACAGTATTAGGTCAAGATTTTTTACCCATCTTTTCTGAAACTTGAAAGCAAATTCTTTAAAGAATCGATTTTTCATTCATAAAAGTTGTTTCCTTATAAACAAGATAGATCGCTACAGTCGATTTTCCTGTAGCCATATCAACAGAAATCGGCAAGACAAATGAAGCTAAAAACAAATTGAACAAATTTTCCAAATTGTGTGCGTGTTTATTTTGGGCTCTGTGTGTGGGCGTTAGAGTGGGCGTGGCACTAGAATCTGCATGCTTGATCACAACTTTCTAGCTTTTATACCTACCGAGAAATCGGGTTCAAAAGGACATTATGGACATGACAAAATCGACTCGGCTTACAAGAATGACTTTCTGATGAAAAGAATGTGTACATATGTACATTCTAGGATCGGAAACACTGCCCTCTACCTTATCAACGAATCTTGAAATACTCTAACACTGTTCCTAACACTGTAGAGCATGGAGCTTTTATACAACTCTACAACAGCGAACCGGAGACAGCGATCAATTTTCGGCTTGTTGCCTGTGGACAGGAAGCAGTATGGTGCGCGTAGAACTTCTCCCCCGGCAACCTGGCATCCAAGAAGGGAAACAGAGGGGACCAGAGGACCCAGCATATTGCAAGGTGGAAAATTTATAATTTGCGAAATTGCCACACTCACATACGGGCCCACGCACGTTGGCAGCATGTTTAATGGGCATTCAGTGGTGTTTCCACCCCGACTTCCAGCTCTTTCTACCTCTTGGCAGGTCCTGCTGCCTTAAATTATGTTAACCTCAAACGAGACCATCCCGACCTCCCGGAACGACCCGTGTACAAAGTTCGATTTAAGGCCTCGTTTATTTTGCCATCCTTGCCGAGGACGAGAAGTGGAGGGGATCCGGCCAGTCGTCTGGTTGCATGTTGCAAAAGTTGTTGCTGTTGCACAACCGCATGCCACAACATGCAGCCTGGCCGGACGACCTGGGGGAGTGGGCTTACGGCCGGGTCTGGGCAGGAACTAGGGTTACGTCTGACATGCCCCACTTGGCAATTGCCAAAACTATTTGTTTACATATTTAGAGCAGGCCAAAGAAGAAAGCCGGCAGGGCATGTTGTCAAGGCATGTTAACTCTGAAATATGCGCATTTAAAAGGCAGAAGGAGATCGGGATCGGGAGCGAGGACTGCACAACGGATGTGCCCCAAGGAATCATTTCTTAGCACCTACACCTACCAGCGCCCACAAGGATATTGATATGATAGATTCCCTGAGTACCTCTCACCAATTAGGCAGCATGAACAGCAGGAATGCAATGTACTCGTACCCCATAAGAATAGAAGAATCATTTGTTGGGGAACCCACTCCACGCAGGCTGCAATCAAAGCCCATCTCTTAAGACGTAAGCCATTTGCTGCACGTTTTGCCAATTCAAAAATTGAGGTCCATTCCGCGCTTCCAGCCCTCTGACATATAACTTTTTCGCCTTATCGGAGCCTGCCACCAAATGCAAAGCCGAAGCCTCATTTAAACCGCCGAATGGGGGAGTAATGTGCAGGCGGGTTTCATCCCCCTGTGAGTGGGGCAAGGCCAGGGAAATGGGTGCCCCTGGGCACAGAATTCAAAGAAAAATCACGCGCGCTTATCAGACGCCGTAACCTTAGCCAAACCCACGCAATTAACGCCCATTGGGCTGTCAGTATGAAAAATGAGCGATGGGGAAACCCCCGGGGAATTGCCGCGGAGGCCGTCTTGAGCAACTGTGAAATGATTTGCAAACGACGCGCGGCCGCAATCGAACTCGAATTGAGAATTCCAGTCTCAGCTCCACTCCTCCAGTGGCTACAAATTTTAATTGCTTCAGCGATAGCTGAACGGGCGGAGCCCCGGGAGGCGGGCTGCGTCATGGAATAGGTCGCATTGATAAGAGAGTCACGTTCTGGTCCTGGCAAAGCAAAGACAATGTTGTTGCTGTCTTCATTATCAATGACAGGGCGAACGGAAGTGGCGCAGGAACAATGGTTACTCTTTATTGCCGCTGCCTATGCCTCCGAGTCAAATTGATAAGATGCCGAAAATGACTGGGAAAACAATAAACGTGGGCATGAAACCAGTAAGGAAGGAGTCCTTTCGAGTGGGCGGTGCATAAACAGAACGTTTGAGGCGTCCTAATGAGGGCAGGAGGCATTCCTCGATAGGTTCCTTGCACTCTGCGGATCTCGTGGAGAAATGGCAGCCGCCTAAAGGCGAACTCTTTTGTGCCGAAAACACTTTCGAGCACTCGCGCAGCAGCGAGAAACTTTTAGTGCAGATAACTTGGTACAGGTGGGAGCCGAGCCCTGGAGCTGAAATATGAGCTGCATCATCACCACTTTCTACTCAGCGCAACATTGTGACGGCGCGGAGTTATCCCCAGCGTCATATCTTTAAGTTGACCCATTTGCTTAGTCAGCCACGGCCAAGAAAGTCCATCGAGTCCGACTAATTTCACAGCTAAGTAAAGTAGCCAAGAACTTGACAGTCATTTAATAAAATTTTATTTGCACCCATCATTTTGGGATCCGCAAGTAAAAGCAGCGCACAAGGAAAGTCGGAAAGGAGACCGCTGCAGTCCCACAATTTTGATGCGCAACAAAATTTTATGAAATACTTGGAGAGCAAATTTTATGTGAGTTGGCGGCCATAAAATTTTAGCGCTAGCAAAAGTCACTGAAGAGCTTCTAGCGGTTTCGCCGGACTCCCCCTCAGCTTTCCTGGTCTTTGGGTCTCTGGGCTCGCCTTTGGCTAATAATACCGGAGCATTTACACCTTTATGGGGCGTACTTAGAAACGCTTATTTATGCTAATGGCGGAAGTGGGCCAGGGATGAAGAGGGGCCACTGCTGTCACTAATTCCACCCCGAAGC